GCCCTTAGATTTTCTCTTGAGAGTGCTGAAGATTTGTAATCAACATATGAGTTTGGACTGTTTTGAAAGCATTTTGAGGCAATTTAAAAATTAAAATTACAGTCATGTCTCGTTTATATGGACCCCGTTAGTATGAATACCCCGCTGTATGGACATCATTTTCGGGGACAAACTGGGAAAATACATGCATTTTTGTCTCGTTAATATGGACAACTCACACTATCATAATGTGAATTGTCCATATTAACGAGACAGAAATTTTTTTCTGGGGGAACGGAGCTGTCCATATTACCGAGACATCACTGTAGTTTCATGATAAAAGTGACAAAAATATGATAGTACGTACTAGAGGCGTCTCCTATCTTAACTTTAAGATCATGACGAGAAGGCTAAACGATATGACATTTGGTTTTTATGTGATTAAATTTGACGGGACTGTTTTCGCTAAATTTATTTTCAGTAAGTTCGATAAGACGGCGACACCAGCACAAAATGACCCTAGGGTGCCTCAATGCCCTTCTCTTTAGGGTGATGACCTCCTTTTAAGTACCCAATGCCGACGGAACAAAACGGTCACATGTCATCACCATAGTCATCACCCTGAGTAAAGCGCACATGAAGGCACCCTACAGGCCGGTTCTCACATGCAGCGAAGCGCTGATGTAGCGCTCCTCACGTGCCGTCAGCTACTTATCGTCTGCCATGAGCAACAGTTTTGACGGTGCGATACAAAGCTGGTGAACGCTGGCGTCAGCACGCGCTTAGCGCGAGGTTAGCGCTATGCTTGTAGCGCTCCGCTGCATGTGTGAACAGGCCCTAAATTCCCCAAGGTCAGAACATCTTTTTTTGTTTTCGGTTTCTTGAGCTCGCGGCACGCGTCGTCTGCCTGCCATTGCCGAGATCAGTTTTGCCGGGGTATGGTCTGCGTGGGATTTATGTCTGCTGCACCAACGTTGACTGCACCACAGATAAAATAGGACCATTGAAAGGCGACGGATCTATGGGGTACTCGCAACGTGCAATCTCGTGCCAACGCGCTTTCACTTTCAAACGCATAGAGTGACCGCGGCCGATGCCTAAGGTCACTGAATACGATTCCCATAGTACCGAAACTCTCAAGCTTAGATTCGTAAACGTTTCGTGTCACTCAAATTCATCCATATTCATGCCGTCACTTTGGATCCTTGCATGGTATACTCGAAAATAACTGTACGCATAGCGCGCCGTTGCCGTCATTTCTCTCAGGCAGTGTGTGGCAATGCGGATAGACTTCGTTTTCGACATATTTTACATTGCAGTCTAGCTCGAAACCGAACGTATGAAAATAAACCAATGTTGAAAAGAGTATTGCTGGTAATCACCTTTTTAAACTGACACACACACACAAAAAAAGTATTTTTGCAACTGCAGGTTTGTCGCAAAGGAGAACAAAAATAAATAATGGCTGAACTTCCGGGGGGAGTATTTTACTTCCGGTTCAATTGTTTTTGCTTGTCTCTGATGACCCTCAGTGAGAGCGCATATATTAAAAGTCTCACCGCCGAGGACTAGCTGCGGTACCTCCTGAAATTTGCTTATAGGAGTCGACATCCCTTCCTGTTCCCTTCGGTGAAAAGAAACAGCACCTGTTCCTCAAGAAAACGACAAATCTTCCGAATGTATCGCGGGCGTACCTTTATGACTATACCTATTCGACCTAAAACCTACAAATCCCTAAACGCGCTCAGCTACTTCGTGAACGGCGAGTGCTTCCCCGGAGGGGACGCCAAGCCGTGTCTTGGGTTTAGCAGACAATCTTCCGAAAGTTTTCATTAGGCTTCCTTTCCTGCGACGCGTCTGTAATGCACACTCTTCTAATGTTTTCACTTACTTGCTTTAGTATTCAAGGTTTCTTTATTAGATCACCGTGCACGTTGCGTTTGTACGTGTCGTAATGGGCCATCGTTGTGCGGAGATGGTCAGTCGAGGCGCCTCGGCGCCGCATTCTCGCGTTCGTAACGTTGCGCCACCTGTCGGCAGCACATCGAAATGGGCCAAGTCTAACATCGTCTGCCGATGCCGTCGTCCTGCAATCACCCAGGCTCGGCCGCGTCGGTGGCGTCCCTCGTCTCGCGATAGTCGAAATAACTTCAGTCGTGATATCTTTTTGTTCATGCCGGTAAGCATGAATGCAATCTCACGGAATTGCTCGCTAGAGAACCGAGAGTCGTCGCGTACCCACCCAAACACGAGGTAAGCATAGGAGAACCGGAAGTATTTCTCCCCCTGTCATGGCGACCGGAAGTGGTCTGCACGCCCTCTACCAGGGTGTAAGATAGACAGGTGAGGAAACGAGAGCCAAATGAGTGACCGCATTGTGTCCCCTTCGGTTTTCTCTTTTTCTGTGGCGCCATCAATGTGGAGCACCGCGAACTCCCACTCCGGTGGGCGACCGATGGCGACCGGCTAAACCAAACTGACGGAGATAGTTTCTCGTGGATTTTTAATGAAGGACTGTCGTGCTCTCGGTTTATTTTGCGCACTCTCCCATAGAGTTCCACGCAAATCCGATTCCGATTTTTTTCCTCTCGCCGCAGCGCCATCTGTCGCAAGTCGGGGGTACCCGCAAGCAGACGAGTACACAATCCGGTCACGGCGTTGCGGTAGGCTTCTATGGGCCGTTACCCCACCTGTCTATCTTACACCCTGCCCTGTACTTTTCCTGTTACGTTCTCATGTAGTCACGCAAATATGCCGATACTCGTACGGCCTCCTTTCCAAATCAGGAATGGCATACGTTTCGCAAGCCGATTGAACTTCCAAAAATCCTAGCCTCGAATCTGCTGATAAGCACCCAACCCATTCTTGTTAGCAGGTGTTAGACCACCGCAGGAGCTCAGCCGGTTTCGGTCTGGATTCGCATTGTACCGGCTGCGCTTGTGTAATAATTACTCCTCCATAGTTCAAGTTAAAAAAAAAAAAAAAAAAAAAAGTTGAAGAGTTGTACCGTACTGATGAAATATCTAATTCGTTTCAATGTCGAAACATCCAGACAGTGAGGGCGCTTTTTGCCCTGTTCACTCGACGAGGCTGGTTTTTGCCGCGTTGCCGTTGCAGCAGCGAACTTCATCGGTTAGAGCTTAGCCAAGGGTTTCTGTCGTTGGCATTTTTTCGATATTTTGTCGATGTACTTTAAGCGTGCAAACGTCTCGTATTAATGCAACAACATTTTATCGATTTATTTACAACTGGGTGATATCTCAAATCGCGCAGGCAAAAAAAAACGCGCTTTTAATTTTGTCGAAAAAACAAAGTACGTTGTCGGAAATTTTATACCGAGAGGAAAGGTGAAATCCGCGGGTTCGGATAATATTGTTCTCGAGTTATGGCCCGAGGGAGCTGCACGGTGGAAATTGGCGTTTTTCGCAAATGTCGAAGGTCGCGTGTTTGACAATTATTCTCCTCCCATGGTTTTTTGCTTCTACGTCCATTTCGATTTTTATCTATAACTGTGCACACTATGAAGAGGACTTACTGTAATTAAATATGTTTAACCGTTCTACGCTGTTTTATTTATTTCTTCTTTTTTTGCCTTTAAATTTATATTTAGGTCCATTTTGTATTACCTTTGACAGGCTGCTATCTGCGACCTACTAAAGTTATATTTATCATTTTGATGCCTCTGGAAAGCCCAAAAGGATAAAGACCGTATGCTATACGGGCAGAAACTAGGGGAAAGAATGAGATGAGAGCGAGAAGGAAAGTCAGAACACCGCGAACTCTGGCTGGAATGATCAGAGGTATAGACGCAAAGCTAGCTGCCGTTGACTCCACTCACCCTTGGAACGCGTTCGAACGCCGAACGCCGGCGTCTTTGCTATTGGCGTTCGAAAGCGTTCGAAGACCGAGTACAGTCAAAGGCAGTTAGGTTTGCGTCTGTACCTCGGATCATTCCAACCAGAGCTCGCGGTGTTCTGCCTTTCTCTCTCATCTCCTCCGCTCTCTCAATTTCTCGGAGCATTCGATAAGCGATCGTGTCTGATAACTGGCGAAGGGGCCAGGTGCTCGATTGGAAAGAGTGTCGGGAAGCTGAAACAGAAAGCTTGTAGAACACGTTTGCGTATTAATCTTATCTTATCGATTACGAGACAGCGATAACTCGGAACCCGTCGCCAAACTGCAGGCGAGAAGAGAGCAGCGCTGCGATTACCTCCGATCCCTGTCAATTACTCTTCCGTTGGCAAATTTTTCGTTTTTTTTTTTTTTTTTTTTTTTTTTTTTTTATTATGTAGTTTAATTCTGCCATTTCGGCTGCCATCTTTGAACAAGAATCGTTTTTCCAAGCAACCACAGTCTTCTCCTGTTACTTCAGCGCCTCGGGTCTCGCCTAACGTAACTTAGAATCCACTACCATGCATGCTTCAAAGCTCCGATATTAGCGTAATCCGCTACGTACGTCCAACAAAAACTCTCCGTTAATTAACGACTTCTTAAAAAAAAAAAAATCTGCAAGCGTATACTGAATATTCCGTAGTCCGGGCCAGTAAATCTGCAGCCGCGTAGTTTGCTGCGACAGCTGTTTCGCAACGGCATTTCGAGTGGCGCCGGGCATTCGACACTCCATTGTCCGGTCAGAGTAAGCGGGCCGCCGGAATCTTCACGGGTATAACGGCCGGTCCACCGGGTCACTTTTTGGGAACGCGGCGTCTATTTTCGGACGAGGAAAAAGGGGGTGAGACTTCGCGTCTGATACGCGCGCCGAAGGCTTTAGATTAGCCGCCGCGTCTTCGGATAGCGGTCTGGGCTACGAGAGAGGAATAAGCGCACGAAAAAATGCGGTGGAATAAAGCAAAAAAAGAGGCGATACAGACGAAAGGGAAACGCTGTCGCCAGCTCCTCTTCGATTGCAACTTCCGCGATTCGCGCCCAGCTGTAATCAGACGGAAGTGACGCTACAGGTGACACGCCGCCGCCGCTCTCCTTTCCGGCGGCGCCACCTCCGCGCCGGCGGCTCCCTTTTTAGCAGACGACGGCAGCTGCGGCTTTCGAGGCCCCGACTGACGCGCATTCTGTGCGGCTCTTCAAGTCGCGTTCGCGTGTCGTCTCCCAGCTTGTTCGTCTTCGTACTTGTCCCCCGGTGTTTCGTCCCCGCTTAGGATGTGACCCGTCCACACCGCAAACAAAAAAAAAGAAGCTCCGATCGGCTGCGAATCTCCCTTTGCCATGGCGTTCGATCTCCAAGAACTGTTACTTAGCCTTCTGTTCCACCGTGTTTCTTGACCAGCTGCTGACGTGCCGTCCGTCTTGGCGGATTCGCAGGCCGCCCTAGTTGCGGTTGTGTTTGTTCTCTCGGTGAAGTGAGCGGGGTCCCGGTCGCGTTCTCTTCGGACGTGACACTTCCCGCCTCCTGGTTGCCGTCGTGGCGATCGAGGTGCTTCTGCTGGAGGGCTGTCCCCGTTCCACGGGCGCGCTGGACGGCACGCTGGAGATCGGCGAAGTGGCGGACACGGAGCGCTTGGTGCTGACCCGTGCCGACCAGGCGAGGATGCGCAAGCCCCACTCTGCGGCCCACTACAAGGAGCTGATGGGCCTCCGGCGGAGCAACTTTCTGCTGCTCCTGCTGCTCATGATGGAGCTCAGCTACCTCTGCTTCGGCGCATTCATGTTCTGCAGCTTCGAGCGGCCAGGAGAACTGGAGCGGCGACTCCACCTCAAGATGTTCAGAGCCGCCTTTCTCAAGAACTTCACCTGTCTCACCGGTGAGCGGAACATCATCGTCATCGTCATCGTGTACCTTTGTTATCGTCCCGCACGCCGTCTCATTTGCTGTCTTCCGTGCTGTCCCGTTGGCAAAGCGGCAAACCTAAAACCTGCCGCTTTAGACGTGCTCGAGGAGTACAGTGAACCGGACAGAGGACCGCAAACGTTTCTGGCACCCGTAGTCGTGCAGGTGTCCGTCCAAATGAGCAGCGCGCAAGAGCGCCTCTTCGATCTTAAAACCACGGCAATGTCGTCACCATAATAGAACGTCACTGTGCAGCTTCCGGGGCCCCAGCCCGAGCCGGCTGGCGTTCCTAGTGCTATGAGCATTGACCACACGGGCATGTTGAGGGCTCAACTGCCACGCGAAATCGAGCTGATATTGAAGGCGAATGAACGTTGCGTGTGGCCACATCGCAGAGTGATGTGGTATAATATGCTCTTACTATTGTTTTTTTAATTTTGTATACCTAAAATTAACATTTTCGCGTAAAAGAAAACGAAAAAAAAAAAAAAACGGAGTGCATAGATTATTCTTGCATGTCAATAGAGATAGTTATTATTTCTGCTCAGCCTATATACAGCATAAAATACGGTGTGAAGAGAATCAACGTCCATATGCGAGGAATTTTACGACGAAACAATGATGTAATCGCGATATAGAAGCGACGCTGAAGGAACGAATCTGGACTGGCTAAACTTTAGAAAACAACTGCCGTTCACTGCCGCGAGGGGGAGCCAAAACCAACGGCTTCGCTAGCTGCTGTCACGCGACGGTTGTATCTCAAAACGTCCCATTCGCATTTGAACCTTGCACATTTCGACCCATTCTCATTTGGTCCTTCTCATTTAAACTTTCTCATAAGATCCGATTCGTGTTTTTCGCAACTGGAGCCATTCTCATTTCGCCCGTTCGCGCTACGACCGAATTGCACTAGTTCGGCATGCTTCTAACGTCGCTATGCCTTCGCGGCTTTGTTGATGGGCCTTACCTTGCTTGGGCCCCCAACATACCATCAGATATATGTCATGTGTAGAGGTACGCACTGATAATCGTACGTTGACGCCTGCGTCCCTTCCTCTAAGCAAATAAGAAAAAAAAAAAACGATGAACATTTAATTTGGAAACTTTGTTTGAACAGAAATAGCATACGTAATAGCAGTGGTTCTCAAGCATTGATGTTTCGCGGACCCCTTGTAGAAAGGCGGAGATGATGGAGGAACCGTTCGGGGTGAGGGGAATAGAAAGGTATAGTTTATCATGATAATTATTTAATAAATGGATATAACTAAGTGCGTGTGAAGTAGACTTATCTCATTGGCATACACACGAGAGTACACCCGAAAATTGGAACGTTTCTTCTCAACGTGAAGAAAGACAACTAATATATCCGCGCCTGACTGATGAGACAGGGCTTCGCAGACGCCTAGGATGCCTTCGCAGACCCCCTTTTGAGAACCACTGCATTATAGAAGTGGTGGCGTTGTCCCAAGTCGAGAGACCTCAAACAACGTGACATTTCGGAATATGACCTGGCTGCGATAAATAGTTGGTCTATTTTATTGTCAGATAGTAGCTTTTCATGACGACCTCGACGCACTAAAATCCTTAGCAGAGAGTATGCCTGTAGCGTGGTACACACACACACACACACACACACAAATTATATCAATGTATTTATTAATATTACCCTAAAGACGATTTTAATATAGAAAGAGTCAAGTGCGACGGGTCAACGCGAGATATTTTTGAGAATGGCTGTTTTGAAAAGGGCCAGGTGAAAAGGGCGAAACGAGTACGGGCCCAAATGAGGAGGGTTGGAGTGCGAAAGACGAAACGAGAAAGGACCAAATGCAACAGGTCCAAGAGAGATATTTTTGAGAATGGTTATTTTGAGAAGGGCCAAGTGAGAAAGTCGAAACGAGAACGGGCTCGAATGATAACCACCCCACGTGACAATACCTGTGAGTCGCGCCTCCAGCGACGAACTAAAGAAGCTCACCTGAAACACTCTCGCTACGCATCTCACGACGAAGCGGCAAGCCGTAGCGAAGTGGCCATGGTTGCCAATAGATTGGGGAGTTCTCGTAGATAGTTTTCGCCGTCCCGCAACGCTCCCCGCAATTCGCTACGATGCCTGGAACTCTACAGTCAAGGCTATCGGCGCGCAGGCGCAGTAGCGGCTTCTTCATTGCGGAGGGCTTAGCGGAGGGGGAGCAGGGTCTTCGAAAACTCCCTGTTCTGAGATGCAGTGCGGTTCTTGTCCTGGCGGCAAGCCATACCGTGGTGCCCACATATTATGAGGTGCAGTGCAGTCCCACATCCTGACGGACGTGGCAGGGTTTCCTCGGCACTCTGAGCCCTCAAACAAATCGCCTCGAAGCAGACGTGCAAGCTGGCTCATCATTTGCGCGCGCCCCATCCCAGCTCTCGTATTGTATACAGGGATTGGCATGCAGACACTGCTAACAGAACGCCAAGTGTATTCCACGCCTCGAGGTGGATTTGAGGACATTCGCATTGACCTCCTTGACGCCCATATGAGAACGCACGAGCACTCTTCCAGATGCCCGAACTCACGTGCTTTCACGGTCTTTCCGTCACTCGTTGCTTGTCATTTCTCACCTGCCTCGAGAGCGGTGCGTGACAAGGAAAATGCGGGAGAGCCTTCGGTGTCCGTTTGCGCGTTGAACCGTGCGTCGCCTTTGCGCTTCTTTGCGATCCAAATTTCGTGGTGCCCTCCTCGGATCCTCTCCGTATATCTGCTATTTCTTTTTCTCCCTCTTGGAAACGGCTCTAACCCGGTCAGAAGAGAACGGCAGTCGCCCCCGTTCCAACCGGTCTCCAACCCCTCGTGCCGTCGCTCCTGCATTTGAAAGCTTGGGTAGACCCGCTGCGCGGTGCGCTTAGGGGCGTCAGATTACGGGGTTCACTGCATCGATACCTAAACGAATCCTGCTGGAAGCCAGTTTACAGCTGCTGCGAAAAATGTGTCGGCACGTGTAAACGCGGGTCTACGACTCTTCTGAAAGCTAAACTACTCGGTGAATCAAGCTAAAACTCTCTATACTGACGTCACGACGACTGTACCGCGTGCGAGCTTTACTAAATGCCGCCAATCCTGTTCCCCTCCACTAAAAATAAAAACAGTATTTTTTTTTTTTTTTAGTTACGCAGGAAAGCACCTGCGAATGTGCGCTTTGGTGTAGATCGGTTCAAAGATAAGGGACATAAAACAGAAGCTTCGTCGCAGTGTTTACCGGTAGGCGTTACAAGTAAGGGCATTACCGGTATTACGTTGCTTTTCTTCGGTAACCTGTAACGGTGCTCGTTACTTTTTTCAAAACAATATTGGGTAACGTACTTACGTTACTTATTTCGAGTAACGGCTAACGTTACTTTTTCTTCCTAAACCTGAAAAAAATTACGCTTCAATGTTTTTCGTGTTTCCAGCCGCGAAGCCATGTAGATTTGTGTGGTTTTGCTTTTTTCTTTGCGTTTTCTTTTTTTTCGAGTATTTGGGTGAAACCGTAGAAATATGAAGTAATTGTATTCAATTTCTGCGTGGACATAATATTTCTTGAAATATGGCGCTTATGCGTTCCTGTAAAGACAAGCAAGTAAAACGTGTTCACTTATTATGATAGAAAGTATCGTAAAAGTAACGTCTGTTACTTTTTTATCTGTAACGGTATACCGCGTTCCTTTTATTATGAAGTAACGTAGGTCGGTGACGCGTTCCTTTAATTTGCAAGTAAGTAACGGCGGGGGCGGGGGGGGGGGGGGGGGGGTAGGTAGGTAGGGGAGGAAGCCGCGAGCCGCACTTTAACACGCGAAGAGCCGCGTGCGGCTCGTGAGCCGCGGCTTGGCCACCCCTGGTCTGGTGCATATCTGCTTTTGGGATCTCCACTTCGGAGGTGGTTTATTTGCTTCATATATAACTTCTATCTCTTCGAATGTGCCTTGTATTGTTTATAGCTAGTCTTGTGAACTTCGTTCGAAACATGTTTTGTCTTGTGTATACGCTGGTTCACACTTTTCCCTTCAACGGCAGGAACAGTGTTGAGAAACAGCCATCGCTGGACTGACCTCGAAGCAACTGGTGCGGTCTTTCAAGTTTCGAGTCCGTTGCTTGCACTAATGATTGTCAAACCTGATATGTGTCGCGCATAAAACTAGCCGCCTAAGCGAAGCCGTGTATATTAGAACTGCGCATTAGAAAAGAGCGTAAGCTGGCTACGGGTTAAAGTGCGCTGGCTCGCTGCTGGGAAACCGGTCCAAGTTACGGATAGGGCTAGGCGTCTATTAAAACTTTTAACCCGATTAATCACCACCCTTTAGTCGATTAATTAATCGATTGATTAATCGACTAATCAATCTCCTTCATTCTTATGCAAAATATGTATTAAAAAAAAGCAAAAAAAGTTTTGTTTTGCTTTTGTTTCTTATGTGGCAAACGGCGCAATATAAATTTTGATTTAAAATCAACCTCGATGTGTATGTGAGAACAGTTCATAGACACTCCCACAGTCCCCTCCCCCGCGCTAAGTGGGCACTCGAATGACGTTGAAGTTGCCGGGACTTCTGAAATTGTCTGCAGTTCGAGATCTCGCCCCAACAGTTTACTTCAGATTACAAGTTCACCTGAGGATTTTCCTTTCATACAGATGTATACTCAACCACGTCTGCGTGGTGAATGCGTTGAATTTTCTTTTTTACTTTCTTTTGGTTTGTTAAATGTTTACCGATTAAAGCTTTAATCGATTGATCGGTAGATTAATCGATCACTTGCCCTGCCCTAGTTACGGAGGGTTCGCGTGGCGGGAAGGGGCTTTAGAAATGCCTCTTCCAACTGGTTACTCGTAGCTCGCCTACTTTATGCTCGCGTCTCAAAACGTAGACAAAAATAAAAAGTATCTATTTAAAATTATAGACGCACAAGGTCGGTAAGGATGCTTGTTGTCTATCCAAAATAACGCACATTTAACCAGATTGCGG